TCATTGCGCATTAGTTTACTCTTTCTGGCGAGGCCTTCCTTTGGCAGCTTTGATACTGGAGTTATCGAAAGTGCATGCACATATTCTATGGATTTTCATTTTTAGTATGTTGCTGATAAAAATGATGGTAGCATTTGAACATTCCGGATCCGTTGACATGTCTGACGTATCAGACGTATAATGGTCAACCCAACATTTGTTTTTATCTGTAAAGTAACCTCAGATTCTAAGTCAGTGCACCGAGGCTGCTACTTAGATGACCAATGCACTACTACATTTATTAGGCACAACAACCGCAAAGGCAAACAGCATGTACAATTGGGCTTGCCTGACAATGCTCAAGAGAAAAAAGATGCTGATGGATACCGCGTAAAAAATAGTCAAATGGGTGAAATATGCGAGCGTACACTAAAATGGGACACTTTCGCAAAAATGGGTCCTTGTGCGGAATGTTCAACATCCTTCACTACTTACAAATTTGCCTCGCCAAGCTCAAGCGCAGCCCTTGTTCGCCATGCTGTCGTCCAAGATCCACCGCTCCGTATTACCGGCCGCCTCGCGCCGCTTCTTCCACTCTGAGGTGCACAACAAGGAGCTTATTCAGTCGACAGGTTTCATCAATGGCAAGTGGGTCGAGGCTCACTCCAACAAGCACTTCGCCGTCATCGATCCTTCCACCGACAAGGAGATTGCGCGCGTCGCCAACATGGGCTGCGTCGAGACCAACGAGGCCATTGCAGCGGCGTTGGCAGCCCAGAAGAAATGGCGCAAAACTACACCCGCGGCTCGCTCCGGGCTGCTCAAGAAGTGGCACGCCGCCATCGTGGCCAACACTGATGATCTAGCCACCATCGCCTCCGTGGAGAGCGGTAAGCCACTACCTGAAGCCAAGGGCGAAGTGGCCTACGCTGCCGGCTTCATCGACTTCTACGCGCACGAGATCATGCACTCGAATGGCTTTTTGCCTTCCCCATCGGCACCCGACCACAAGATCATGGCCATCAAGGAGCCTGTGGGCGTATGCGGCATCATCACGCCCTGGAACTTTCCCCTGGCCATGATCACTCGGAAGCTAGGCCCATCTCTGGCAGCCGGTTGCACGGCTGTGGTGAAGCCAGCAGCCGAGACGCCACTATCCGCCTTAGCACTGGCCAAATTGGCCGAAGACGTCGGTATCCCGGCCGGTGTCATCAACGTGGTGCCGTCCCCCAATGACAAGGCTGCCGAGGTTGGTGGAGCTTTAACCAGCAGTCACGATGTCCGCAAGATCTCGTTCACGGGCTCCACTCGAGTCGGCAAGCTGCTGATGGAGCAGTCGGCCGAGACGGTGAAGCGCGTGTCGCTCGAGCTCGGCGGCAACGCCCCGTTCATTGTGTTCGAAGACGCCGACCTCGACAAGGCTCTGGATGGACTGATGGCGTCAAAGTTCCGCAATACTGGCCAGACGTGTGTGTGCAGCAACCGCATCTTCATCCACGCCGACATCTACGACGAATTCGCGGCCAAGCTCGTAGAACGTGTCAAGAAGCTCAAGATGGGCCCACCTCGTGAGGAAGGCGTGAAGCTTGGGCCCCTGATTGGTCCCAACGCCTTCTTGAAGACGTCGGAACTGGTGGAAGATGCCGTCACGAACGGAGCGACGGCTCTTGTTGGTGGCAAGCGCAGCGACATCGGACGCAACTTCTACGAGGCCACTGTGCTGGCCCACGTTGATAACACGATGCGTGTCTGGAGCGAGGAAATCTTCGGGCCTGTTGTGCCGCTGTTCAAGTTCTCAACCGAAGAAGAGGTGATCGAGATGGCCAACGGAACGGAGGCCGGCCTTGCAGGTTACTTCTTCTCGCAGAACTTGTCTCGCACGTGGCGTGTTGCTACTGCTTTGGATTGCGGTATGATTGGTGTGAACACGGGCGCCATCTCGAACGTACAGGCCCCATTCGGTGGCGTCAAACAGTCTGGATTGGGACGTGAAGGCTCGTTCATGGGTCTGGAGGAGTATCAGGAGACGAAGATGGTCTGCGTGGGTGGACTGGACTAAGCTACCATTGTCATACTTGCTAGGATTTGTGAGTAGTTGTACTGCTGAATAAAGTTAGCAGTTTTAGTGTATTTGGTTCTAGCTGTCTGGCTTTGACCATGTAGTCTCGCCAGTCACGGGGTTGTAGTAGTATGTAGTACCGTTGCTGTCCTGCATCTCTTGCCATTGACTTGCTGCTATTGACGGTTGGCTCCAGCTTGTCTCTCCTGTTTCCTGGTTGTAGTAGTACATGGCGCCACTGCTTTCGTCTCGGTACTCAATCCAAGTGCTTGGAGTTAGATCAGAGGTAGCCTGAATAATGCCATTGCTCGAGCTTGCAGATAACCTCTCTTCTTCCTCTCTTGCCTTTCGTTCAGTCACTACTTGGCTCTGTTCGCGGATAAAAATCTGCTGGACGATCGCATCAGCTTTTACCCAGTCCTTCTCGGTGATGGCTGCTTCCAGCCAGCTCATATGCTGGTCTCGTGATGAATATGGCACTGGAGACTCACGAAGTTGCTTCACTTGGGTGAACAAAGCCAAGGATATTTGATCTTCCGTGTCGGAAGTGTCGCGAGCACTGCGAGGTGAAAGAGACCACCTCGATTCTCCTGTTACTTCGTTGTAGTAGTAGGTGTTTTGAGTCTCTCGATCAACAAGTTCGACCCATTTTTTGCCAAGAATGCGTGACTTTGACGATCGAGTTGTGAGAGAGCTGCTGCCATCGTCATTGACCTTTTCATGAGCCATCTCGAACCATTTACGAGCCGAAGAACTGGCACTGCGTCCGCTGGCGAACGCTTCGTAGCTGACGTCAAAGTCTTCAGGTTTTTCCCATCGGTATTCGTT